GTCCCAAAACCACCATATGATTATGAGAGACGCCGTAGTGGAGGGCTCCGGAAATTTCGACCACCTGGGATTCTTTAACGTGCACCCAAATCTGAGCGCACAGGCCTACAACATTTCCGCCTCCATCGGAAATGCAGCCGCCGCAGCCGGGATTCGATCCCGCATCCTGCGGGTCAGCAGCCGAGTACCTTAGCCACTAGACCACCGCAGCGGGGCAGGTGAAGCAGGATCATTGCGGGGCTTCTTTGCATTTGGTCCCATGTAAGAAAGATAGTCCTGGAAGGGAGTGGCTACAGAGTCGGGAAGAAGTTTTCTTATGCGGCACGCAGGCACATAGTCTACATCGCGGAAGTGTCTGCTGCATACGACAGACGATGCAGGCTTGTCGTTCAGTACGATGCAGAGTTGTGGATGCAGACTTTTCGATGAGGCTTAGAGTACGAAGGAACGCAAACGAGCTCTGGGTCTCCGGAATTAACGTTTACAGATGGTGTTAACACCTTGACAATGCACGCCACTACTAGGACATGCTGTTCGAAGGGGTTATTCAGCAGTAAAAGTCCACTTTTTTTACTTATATTTTTACCCGTTAGAGATACAAGTCACGTACGTGTTTGAAAGAGCTGTCAAGCAAGAGACTGCGGCTTTTAGCCCTGAAAACCACTACAGATGTGTTTGTAAAAATAAATAAAGAATAAAAAATAGCTAGCAAAGGGAAGGTGTGCTCGTCATTTCTGTGAGCGACTTTTATTTGCGGCCTCGTTGTCCAACTGGATTAAGTGCCAAAGGTGTTTGGTGCTCGCCGCTTGCAGAGCAGATGCAGTATTGTTTATCTCTCTATCTCTCTGTGATTTATGCTTCATGCATTATGCTTCATGCATTATGCCTCGTTAGCCAATTTCGCGCATCATAACTTAGCATCAGTTTGTATTATCGAAGAGCACATGCACACCTAAATTATGCACAGCTTCACCGCCGACGGGTGGCGAAATATACTCAGAAATGCTCCCATTGTATTCGCGACGGTTGAGAAGGCCGTAAGGAAACAAGCGCGCGCAGGTGCAGTCTAGCCCGGCCGTGACCCAGTATGGTAGGCTTCGTCATAATGGACGGAGCCTTCGAACCCACCTGGCCGGCGCTAGATGGGACCACCATTGTTGGTGTGCTGTGCTGCCTGCTACAAGGATTCACAGGGGTCTTCGGTGGAGCCGTGTTCAGGGAGGGTGAGGTAACCGAGGCTGCTCCCGCCATGATGGCTGGTGGCGTTTGCCTCGGCACGCCAGGCGTTGTACAGGGCATCACCGAAAACTGTAGTGGTGCTGACCCCCCTCGCACCACTTCGGCATATGATGTGTTCCGTGCAAAATGCGGGGAAACATGCTGCCACGTTTCAGGAAAGCTTATGCTCGCTTTAATTTTTGTTATTTTTTTCTCTCTCTTCCAGAACACGCAGGACTTGGAATATGCCAGATGGTCACCTTCACAATTGGCACAGTGTAATTTAGATTCGCATTCTTCATCAGCGGAGTGTTCAATGGGGCCGCATTTTGTGCAGGTAAACTGTCCTCGGCAGTTCTGCGAGTCAAGTCTCAGCCGCTGGCACTTGACGCAGCGCCACGAGTTTGGAATATACGGTGCCACTAGTAGTTTGAGATAACCTGTTACTATTTCGGTGGGGCGTGTGGTAGATCTGAAGGTTAGTACGAGATGTTTAGTGGGAATTTACTTGTTGTCTCTTGTTGTTATGCGCTACACTTGGTCCTTCTAGCCTCTCAAGAGTTCGTCGTCATAGAGATCCACCAGGTCGCCATCTGTCCCGACTCTCTTCACGGTGTTCATTGTTCCACGTAGTGTGGTGATGATGGGCTGATTGCCAAATGCTTTTAAGTTACTTAGTCACTGATATTGTAGGAAGCTTCTTAATTATAGGAGCATATCACTGGAGGTTTTGGTGGCTTTGTAGCCCACGTCTAGTGTTTCAATAAGGCCCTTTGACACAAGAAAGGGTGAAATGTTTTTTGCCTTCTTTTTTGCACTATCGGGGTGAATAATGTCGTACTTAGGAATGTGGTAGAATAATGTGGTACGTGTCCACAAACAGCAAGATACTCCACAGTGAAAGCTCAGGATCGAAGCAGCGAGTAAGACTTGCATATCTCCAGTTTATGAGCATCAGGCATTTAACGCATGGTAGCTGGCAGCCCAGAATCGAAGGTCAACAAATGGTCGACGTCCTGATAGATCTGCAGAAAACTATTTCCTTCCTTGAAACGTACCTTGAGACGCAGCCCTCCACGTGCACATAAAGCGGAAGCTGATAAGCAAGCACTCATACTAGTCCGGGTTAGGGAAGAAACGGAACATTCACGCGTGGTTGGAGTACCTAAAAGACTCATCACTCATATATAAAGAGAACTCGCATAGACCTTGTCTTTGCGAACCTCAGGCTAGAATCCCATCAAAGAACCATTGCCTTTTCATTTCACGGACAATAAAGCAGCAATAATGAAAGCAAAATGGGATGCAGAACTCAACACAACGTACCAGTTATGACCAGTAAAGCACTCTATATACTGCAAACACACGTTGTCACTCATTTACATGCACGAGTGGCCGGGTGATTTAAAATTAACCAGTGTTTTGCCCACTCGTCACGAGTCTTCAGGGAGATGCGTAGATTTGCTATTTATTCGCTGTTAGACGTCATCCAAAATAGTCTGCTCGATTCAATTGCACAAAACTCAAGCTATCAATTTATCTGAAGCCCCCCCCCCCCCAAAAAAAAAAACAATGTTTCACTTTATCTATTATTCCTTCCCTGTGACATTGGTCACCTTTATAATTTGAGTGTTTCGCATTAGCATACACGTGTAAGTACATCTGAAAGCCTTCTGCTGGCCAATCGCCAAATTACGTTTTGACTTCAGCTCTAGCGCATTCCATTCGGGCGCTTTTATGAATGGAAACTTTTCTAACTTAGATTTTAGTTTTAATGGCGTCGTGCATGAACTTCAATGCACTAAATTTTAAACCATCGTTAACTTCAACGTAAATCTTTATCAAAACAGTACTTTTTTTCATTTTGTCTATTCCACATCCACCCATCGATTCTTATTTGGGTGCTGTCGTCATGGCAGCCTTAACATGGGGAAGATCAAAATTAGTGTAAGAGAGCAAGAGGTTGTCTAATGATGGCAGGAAGAGCATGATGTACTTGGGGAAGATCAGAACTAGTGTGGGAGGGTAAGAGGTTGTCTAGCGATGACCGCAATAACGTGATTAACTTGGGGAAGACCAAAATTAGTGTGGGTAGGTAAGAGGTTATCTAATGATGGCACGAAGAACATGATTAGCTTGGGTAAGACCAAAACTAGTGTGGGAGGCTAAGAAGTTGTCTAGTGATGGCAGGAATAACGTGATTAACTTGGTAAAACCAAAGTTAGTGCGGGAGAGTAAGAGGTTGCCTATAGATGACAAGAATAACGTGGTTAACTTGAAGAAGACCAAAATTAGGGTGGTAGAGTAAGAGGTTGTCTAGTGATAGCAGGAATAACATGACTAACTTGGGGAAAATCACAATTAACGTGGGATGATAAGAGAGCATCTAATAATGACAGGAATAACGTGATTAACTTGGGGAAGACCCAAATTAGTGTTGGAGGGTAAGAGTGTATAATAATGACAGGAATAACATGATTAACACGAGGAAGACGAAAATTAGTGTTGGTGGGTAAGAGTTTTTCTAGGGGTGACATGAATAACGTGAAAATCCCATCGCGTACGACGCCAAGACCTTTCCTCTAGGAACGTGTGGCACATATCCGTATGCAATGGGCCGCGGTATACAGATATACGCCACCAGTGTCTGACCACTTATATCAACTGAAGAACGGAGAGAATAGAAAATGGTAATTGAAATGCGAGGGCGTAGAAAAAAACTAACATCAGCAGCACTGACCCAATGAACGCAAACAATAAATGTTATAGTCCCAGCAGGCATTGAACCCAAGCGTTCTGCGTGGCGATCAAGTATTCTAACACATAGTCACGTCATGTTTCGAAATTTCTTTGGAAAAAGACCCTATGCAGGCATATTTTGGTGAAACGTCAATGGTGGTCTGAGTGGTGCTCGTATAATTTTATAAACATTACGTATGTACTCCAGTGATAACCCGTCCCGTTGGGTTAACGTTAATAGTACTAATGTGTCATCCACATAAGTGGGCATCTCGCAAGCACAAGTGCTACATTTCAGCTTACCACTTCTTGATAAGGCAGATGGTTGGGCTAGTTGGTGATTGGAAATCAACATATTTGCACAGCGCAAGACTACGAGTAGTTACGACGTAACTACAGAAGAAGAGACAAGGACAGTAGGAGCGCTGACTTCAACTGAAATTTCATTAGCAAAAGCGCTCGAAATATATTCTCGTAACAGAACATCACCACACAATCGCGCAGCCTATTGCATCACAGCAAAACAATCACAATCTCATTATATAGTTACGACGCCACAGCTCAGCACAAATTCTGTCGAAGCCAAAAACTGGCGTTTCTGGCTGTCCTTGTCTCTTCTTCTGTAGTTACGTCGTAACTACTCGTAGTATTGCACTGTGCAAGTATGTTGATTACCGCTTCTGGTGTTGGTAATATCCGTGTTGCTCTAGAAATTGCGTCGCAACTGTAAACAACTGGTTATACAAAAGTTATGTAACTGTTCAACGCACATTTCTGTGCGTATAACATTTGTACGTATGTTCAGCGTCATTTCATGCATGAAGTTCTGCTAAAAAAAAAAAAAACTACACCACAGTCACCTTACCTCCGAATGACATCGATCTCAATGGCACATGGGATATAGAGAGTTTTGCGTTGGTGTTTAGAAAAGTAGAAAATGGATCTCATTCTTGTTTTTGAATCAGGTATTGTTTAATTTATTTAAAAAATATATCCAAAATATTTAGTAGTAATTATACACATAGCTTTTACATAAAGCTCACCGTAATCAAGGGCGGTCAGCCAGTAGCCATGGAAACGCGTGGGCGGAACGTGATCCTGCTGGCTGTACGGCGGCGACGGCAGCAAAACGAGGACCAGTGCGCACACGGCGTTGAACACCGCAGAGTGCCACGACAGTGCCACGCTGAACCGATTCTGGCAGTCACACCCGGCGAGAAAGGGAAAAACAACTATATGGTTATTGAATACACATTCACACGCATACAGCACTGGGCAAAAAAAAAAAAGCATCATCTTCCGCTGAAGGGGACCATGACGCGATGCGAAGCTGCACGGGAGATGCGCGCCGCTCACGTGAGAAGATCGTGCTCCCATCTCCACGCGCTAACATAAGACAGAGCCGACAATCAACAACTACGAACAATGCAAACGCGCTCTGTCTCACAGAAACGTAGAACGCCTTACCACCGGAAGCATAGGAGGGGGGAGAGAGGGGAGGGGACGCACATGCGCAGTGGAGGTGTGGACGCGGCACTGCTGAGCAAGCGTATCCTTGCAATCACCACTGACTCGAATGAGAGAGAGGGGGCCGTAGGAGAGGAGTGAGAGTGGGAGAGGCGCGCTTGGGCTTTAAGGGTGCTCATGCCGCACACCGGATTGAGCTTGACCCTAAAGCCACATTCACACTTGAGAAGTGAAGCGAAAACAAAAACGCCAGAGAGCCCAGAAAACCACGACCGCGTGCATGAAAACTGTTCACATTCGTTCTGCCTCTGTGTGATGCTATCACCGCCGCTCCATTTCGCCTGCTTTCTGAGCACCAAAATTTGTGCCGAATTCTGGTTATTCTCGTAAAATACTGAATAGAAACCGCTCGCACCTTTTCAATCATAGTTTCGGGTGATACACCAGCAGAAACAACACGAGCTAACGCAGCGGCAACAGAGGCGGCGGATTCAGCCGGCTGGGCACAAAATGATGACATGTTAGAGCATGCCAAATCGCTGCTGCTGCACCGTGTTCGTCCATTTGGCAACCGTCTTCCAAACTATGGCAAAATTCAAGCGACGGCGTTGTGGTTAGAGTATCAGCCTCGCGTGCATGAGGTCGGTTGTTCGAATCCCGGGGCCATGCAGTTCCTAACCAAATTAAAGAATTATCCACGTGATGATAATAGAATTGCATTAAAAGGCGTGGGGTGTGGCCTCACCGGTGACTACAGCCGGTAACACACTCCCTCACCAGAGAAGGATTGGCCACCCTGTTGCCGTATGTGGCCACTACCTCCCACATGTATACGTAAATCCACGCATGGCACTCAGTTCCCAGCGGCTGCGAAGCAGCTGACCATGGCGGCGGTCAGATCTGCAACGCAGTAGAGGGTGCTAAGTGTCTGGGTATCCGAACAGGTGGGCATTAGAACCTGAACTTCACAGCATTTAACGCTTGAATCTTATCTAGTGAGGCAGGTCTAGCTGTACTATTCGATAGGTAGAGGGTGGTAAATGGGTTGTAATAAGGCTCAGTGAGGTTATAAGAGAACCGATGAGGCCTACACAGTGCTACAGAATGGACACGTCTTTTGCTATAGTGGCTTGACTCAGAGAGGAGAGCTGGGCGTAGGGCTCCCTATCCACAGTAATACAGCTGCTAACGTAGATGAATACTATAACATTAATGAAAGGGTGGTAAGTAGGTGTCCTAATAAAACTCATTAAGACATGCAAGATGAAGGCGATACAAGCTTCCGCGCGTACATACAGCCATGATCCCGCGCTAGTTGAAAGCTTATATGAGGACGACGTGAAATCGGCAATGAGTAAGGTAAAAACGCATTATACTATACTAGTGGGTGACTTCAATGCCAAGGTAGTGGAGAAGCAGGCTGGAGATCACGCAGTCGGAGATTATGCCATTTGTACTATAAATGCCAGAGGAGATGTATTAGTAGAATTCGACAGAATTTTTGGGTTTAACGTCCAGAAACCACCATATGATTAGAAGACGCTATAGTGGAGGGCTCTGGAAATTTCGACCATCTGGGGTCCTTTATCCGTGCACCCAAATCTGAGCACACGTGCCTACAAGGCTACAAATGCACGACATTTTCGGGCAGTTTTGCGTATACTGTTAGTATACATTAACCATCTTTATACCAGGAAGGCTCCTACTACTAGCTGCTTGCGGGTCTAGTAATGAATTGAAGCAGGAAATAATGTGACCGAAACGCAGTTTTTATCGATAAACACGCAAAATACTATAAGACGGAAGATACAATAGGAGCACCGCTTGTCCAATAGAGTACGGGCCAATTATCCTGTATCTGTTTCTTTACATTTGTGTCATTTGCGTGATTAGTCAACACTCACAAAGTGAACCGATTTGCCTGAACAAGGTAATGTGGCACACATTGGTGTAGCCATGCATGGAACACTCGCCCTCTCTCTCCATCCCCCATAAGATCGAAGCAAAACGTCCGCCCCCTGCAAAAAAAAAAAAAACCAAGAACAACAGCACAGTTGTTTAGCCATAACCACCACGTCTGCAGGCCATCAGGTCCCTTAAAAACAAACATTGACGTCATGTATTTTAGCAGGCACGTGTTATTTAATTACTGTAGCGAATGTTCCTCTTGATGTGTCCTTAAAAGTGCATCATGGAAATTAGGAAGACGACACAAACCATAAAAAAAATGAAGAATAAGGACATTTCGGTGGCCTTGACGCAGCCTTGCTCACAATGACGGGAGCCATCTTGACTAGTTGCGAAAAAAGCTCTCCTCAGGGGAGCCGAAACGTCCTAAAACCACCATATCATTATGAGAGACGCTGTAATGGAGGGCTCCGGAAAATTAGACTACCTGGGTTTCTTTTTAACGTGCAGCAAAATCTGAGCACACGGGCTTACAATATTCGCGCCTCCATCGGAAATGCAGCCACCGCAGCCGGAATTCAATCCCGCGACCTGCGGGTCAGCAGCTGCGTACCTTATCCACAAGACCACCACGACGGGGAACAATATCAATACCTAAATTCTTGTGCCTGTTCGCTCGAGTCGCAATAAAATTTTATAAAAAAAGTCTCAGTGGTGAGCTTCGGCCATGTTTTTTCTCACCTTGTGGTGTGTGCGAGCAGACTCTTCATCGAAATTTTTCGAATGATCTTCATTTCTTCTGGCACTGGGATTTGTATGTTTATACCCTAAATTGCTAGCCTCTCGAATTTTTTAATGATTCTGTAAAACACTTCAGACAGTTTCACCAACGGCAGGTAGCATGTTATGCTACCTGCTGTTCGTAAAACTCAAGAAATATTACCTACACTCAAGAAATATTGCGCACTCACTTCCGCCATGTCATACGTGGGCAGAAGCATTTTCTCTACCGCGTACATCTCACCCACAGAAATTCAGCATTCGGCCAAGCTGTCCAAGTGCAGCAACATATTGCTATTGGACAGCCGAAGAAGTTAATGCCTCAAAGATTTTTTCCCAGGATGCTTTCATCTTTTGATGTTAAACCGTGCGTACGAGGCATCAATGAAGTGAACAGACGTATTGCACAGACTGCCACTACAGGTGAAACTATTATACTTAATTATAAGCTTCCCAGCTGGAGATAAGGCTCGCTTCCGAAGAAAAGCAGAGGCTTTGGAACCTCCAGACGCATCATTATGCTTTCCTCCGCTCTATCGACCCGCATCTCCTGCCTCCTATCTCGAATCCCTCGACACCTGGAAACTCACTACCATCATCTCCGGGTGAACAGTGCTTATGGAAACAACTTACTGTACCGCTTCGGTCAAGTAAGAAGGACATATGGAGTAATTGTGGCTCCGAAGAAACTGTAGAACATATCTTGTTTCAGTACCAAGCGTATCCGATGAGCACGTGGTCTATGAACACTGCAAGCATCTGTTAAACCAAGGATCTTTATCAGCTAGTTGATTGTGTCTTCGGCCTTTTCTCCAGCTTCACGCAACAGAGGCATGCGATGAAACGTTTATTCACGTATTTAGACAATATTGATCAGCTAAACAAACTGTAGTGGCAACTCAAAAACTCGTGATAAGTTATTCTGTCAGCACACGTTCCCACCCAAGAGACAAATAAAAAAATGTCTGTATATTTACTTTTTTTCTTGTCATTTTAATTTTTATTATTTTTATTCTAATCTTTTTGTCTTTCAGTCCCCAGACCTCTCTCCACACAGAGTAGCAAGTCAGCGATACACACACGCCGGCTAAATTCTCTGCTTTCCGATAAAGAGCTCTCTCTCTCTAGTCTATCACGTAGCCTGATACCATAGAAAATAAGTCCAGTACTTGTCCGTAATAATACCTCCAAATAAATAAAACATTTTTTTACGAGCTACAATACGTGCAACATACAGTATGTAGGCACAATGTATCTGAAACTATCTCAACCCTCGGCAAATTTGATGTGCGCCCGAAAAAGATGTAGTGCCCCGGTGGGCTGTGTGCGCTAGAAAACCACACGTTATATCATTTCAAAGTCCTGTCATTGACGCCATTGTTATGATATAACGTGTGGGTTTTTTCGTAAAGAAGTTTGGGACCGTCAATGGTCCCAACGAACGATGAGGCTTCTTGCTGCTTTGTGAACAACACTTTATCAAAACATGGATAAACGAACACACACACGTACGAAACAAACAGAGCAAGCACAGCAAACAGAGAAAGGTACCTAGACAAGTTTCTGAGCAGCGAATGGTCCTTGCGAAAGTCAATCTCGGCGGATGGATGCTGACCCCCCGGAGAGTTGGACCCACCGGGCGACGCGAGCTGACGAGCGACGCGGGATGGCTTCAAACATTTCGGCCACACCTTGTACGAGGTGACGAACAACTTGTTGCCGCATGGATTCGTCGGAGGCGGAGTACGACAGCGGCCACGGGAAGCCCGTAGCTTCAACTCGTGGATGGCGTCCCAGAGATTCGACACACGGGTAGACCACCAGACTGCATCGAATGCCCAGCTCCATCTGATCTTCTTTTACATGCTGAGCATGTTCTACTAGGGGCTAGTCATGCGCAGTCACCGTCCACAGCCTCCCCTTCTCCTCCGCCAGACATCTGTGCATCCCTTCCTCCTCTCAACACTGCGTGCGCTGCGCTCGCTTCTCCCCTCCGTGCGCCGCGCGACCTTTAGTTTTACGTGCGCGAGCTGTATGCAAAC